TTGAGAAACGAGCCATCGCACCGACTACCGTTAGCCAGCCGGAGGAGATATTCAGTGCGCCCAACGATGCGGCTGACATGAGCTATGATGAGTACCCGGTAAGTGTTGATGGCCACCCTAGTTGCCGCACCCACCCCCGTCCTGAAAGTTCGAGAGCCTGCGTGGGCTTTTGGTCAAACCCAAAAGTGTGTCTCGTTTTACGCACGCAATTTGTTTGTAAATGTATATTTTGCATTTGATTGCTTGCCCTGCAGGTGATAATGTTACCTTGCTTTGATATCGCAACGGGACTTGCTCTGCGATACCAACAAATGTATGTATGTATAGAGGGAGTATGCATACCTACATCTCCAGCAACGGCCTTTGGGGCTGTTGACGTCACGCTTTTTCAAAACTTTGTCAACTTTCACAAAATGAAAAAAAGCAGGAAAACCATTTTTTTTTTTTTGTGCGCGCTTTACAAATTGCGTATACGCCATGTAAACGATGTCTGCAAGTAACTTTTCGTATGTTAACTATGCTATTATTATATGGATACATATGTATATATATATTTACAGCAAATAATACAGTCATCAATTTCGAAATTTCTTTGTTAACTGACAAAATTAAATTCAATGTCTATTCTAAATCGCTCCCAATGTGCTCCATCCATTCCTTAGATGGTAGTGCCCAAGCGCGCTGCCTTACTGCTGGATCGCCTGATGGTTGCACTGCATCATGCGCTGGAGAATGAACGTGAGGGCCATCGCATAGGCGAGTTCTATGCGAATAAGAACCTGGGACCAGTAAAGCCTTCCGATTACAGAAATGCTCTGCAGCAGCAGCAGCAGCAGCAGCAGCAGCAGCTCCGAGCAACAGAGGAAGGTGAGCAAAACGTTCGAGTTAGGAATTAATTCGATATGCAGTTGCATATATATTATATACATCTACAATTATATATATTTCTATATGTATATCTTTAATTAGCGGGCAATCAGCCATTGAGTGGACACAGCTTTCACATGTACAGCGATGACGATCCTGGCGTGATGATGGACTACGACTTCAAAGATCTAAATCAGATAAATCGCGCAACGGGCGAAACTGTAAGTTGGATATTGAAACCAAAATATGCAATAAAAGATATCAATTAGCATGTGGCAAATGGTGTAAGAAAATTTCAGTTAATGGCAAAGAGCTTTCAGAGAAGAGCCGGCACAACTGCAGTTGGCATCGATGCGGCGTCAGCGGCTGCAGCTGGACCTGGAGCTGGTCCTGGTCCTGGTCCTGGCGCTAGTCCCGGCCTCAGGCGCATCCATCACGTTGCCAATGGAGGTGGTCGCATGTATTGGCGCTGCTATTTCAATGCCGTTAGCTGTTTTTAATCCAACCAACCATCCAAGCAACCAACCAATCAACCTACCATTAAACCTAACCAACTGAAACTCCATTCAAAAGAAAACACGAATTGGCTCCAGGTTCGGCTCCAGCTTTATGACATCTTCATCTCGAGCATTGCGTTTCCTTGGCTGCTATGAAAGTTGTTCGCATGATTAACTGAAATCATCTGTCAAGCATGAATTGTAAACTGAGAAACCTTTTGTAATTCTAACATTATAAATATAGATATTTATRTATATGTGTAAACGTGTATATCCATACTGTACTCATCGCTGAAGCTCTGCTCCTTGTAATAAATATTAAAATACAAATTATACTAAAAGAAATTGGCTATAGCTCAACTTAAAGTGTTCACACCCTGAACTCATTGAACGTGGGAAATCAGGCTATAACGGTTTTGTTTAATTTACATATGTAACTGGCAGAAGTAGGCGTGGTAAACTCCCTTTGTTATATATATTCCTAATCAGGGCCACGAGCTGAGTCGAATGAGCCCTATCCGTCCGTCTGTCTATAAGAGAAGAAGAAGGAATTTGTTTTGTAATTATTGTTTTAAGTATTCCTACTAAGTATTTTCTTTAAATAATTCCTTTAAATAATTCCTTTAAATAATTCCTTTAAATAATTCCTTTAAATAATTCCTTTAAATAATTCCTCAAAATAATTCCTCAAAATAATTCCTCTTTGTAATTCCTCTCAGTGACGAGGCACGACTGACCCCCACCAGGCCTGGGCGACTGTAGAAATGCTGCAGCTGTCGTACAGCCCTTTATATAGGCGACTTTCACTCAAAGGTCGTCAACTGTTGAGCCCGACTCCAGTTAGGGTTCGTTGCAGCCGAGCTTTAGGTGAGCAATTGGAACACTCTCTTCCGCTGCAAGTACTCTTGCTTCGTTTGACTTCAGTAAAAATACCGAATGAAGAATGCTGCATACATATTGACAATTAAAATGATCGTCTGTAGTTCTTCTTCATCCCTTGATTTCCCTAGGCAGGCAATCGGAGAGGGAGAAGCGGAGAGACATACATAGGAATATATATGTAGGAAAACAAATACGCATAGGTAATAGTTAAAAGCGTTTATATGCCAATAAACTAAAGAAAATTAGCTTAAAACACATTTAAAGAATCATTATTATTTTCTAATTTCATTTTAATTATCTCACCTAGTTCGAGTTGGCCTATTGAGTGAGTTGCAGCTGCTACCATCCACCTATTACACACACACACACTCATCTAAAAGCAGTTACCTGCTAATACATTTGTAGAATGTAATATATATAACTAAAACATATATCTCATATAATATATATCATTTCAATAATCCATAAAGGCTGTTGGATTTGCTTTTGCGTTGTTCGCTCCAATAATCGGACGCTAATTCTCTCTAATACTGATTGACACTACTATAAAAACTGAAATACCCCCCCACACACACATATATATATATATATATATACAGTCACTCTCACACACACTCATAATTCATTCATTGTACTTAGCATTTCACTCTTTGGTCTTATCAGCGCTATCAACTCCGGGTGCAAAACAATAATACTCTTAGTTGAGATTCCCCAAGCGGAAGTAGCACTTAGTTATATAGTAGGCGTATTTGATAATATTTCGATGTGTATTACAATTACGAATATTACAATTAGAATTACCAGAGACTTTATACACTTTCGTTTACTTTAGTTCGATAGAGTCTATAACTATAACTAACTATAATTATTATACTTTGAGGTTCTCATCTAGCGAATTTGGAGCTGTGTAGTGAGCTAATGGGGGGAATATCAGAACGCAAAACATAACCTTAAGCTGCTGAGAATATATAACATATATATAGAGAACAGCATAATATGAATATAGTAATTATATTATATACAACTATGGCAAATATTTTTATTATATTGCTAAATAGTTTCTCCTTTGAGTATTTTGTTTTATATTGCCACTGCTTCCCCCTTGTCTCTTTGGCGACAGGAATCAATGCATAGCATTAAGTAAATGCAAGGTGATTCAACTCGGTTGCTTCGATCAGTTTTTGCTCGTGCAGCGCACGTAGAGGTCGTTACGGCCAACTTTAATTGCATGTTGGCCAAGTTTTATTGGCCAATATGTGCGAAATTAACGATGTTGCAATACAAATTGATGTTGCAGTTCAGCCAGGAGCTGCGTGTAACGTTGGCCAAATAACTACTAGGAATTTTCAAGTAGGGAGTCAGTGACTACGCTGTACTCTGCCAACAAAAATCAAAGCTATAAAACACATACCAAAGAAATGCACCCTTTTAATTGGATTTAAGCTCTGAAAGAATTTTTACAATAGAAGCACTTTTACATGACCGACAGTTATAACTGATATGCCCGCTTTCCTGTATGAACGGGTATCATAAAGTTTTGTCTGCCTTATCAGGTGTAAAGCTAGGTTAAGAGTCTGCTCATAAATCAAAGTGTTGGTCATGTGACGTCACTGATTGATCAGCGCTGCGACGCTCTGTTCAGAACATGTTCAAATGAACTAGCAAATAAATGAGCTACTGAACTGATTGAGACGATAATAGGTCAAGTACTGTGAAACAGTTTCCGACTTATTGCATGGTAAATAAAGTACATTAAGTTATTGAATAATAAATCAGTGATTGAAATTGTTCATTGTAGACTGTATTAGGAATCTAAATTCTATTATTGTTCAATTGACTTCTAGTGAATTACTTTAGTTCAATTGTTCATCACACATAGAACTAATATTTTCAATTCTATTGAATAAAAAAAAAAACTCAAGATTGAAAGTCATGCTAAATTACAATTAAAATGCACTAAGGGGCTAATTCATGAACTGATTAGACGAGCTAATATTCATACGACATCAATAGAGAAAGAAAGCTTCCACATCAGCTGAACTAGCAACTACTCCCAACTGGTCATAATCAATTCAAGGGCATTTTCCGTTCATGAACTACTAAATGATTGAACCAGTAACTGAACTGATTCCGCTGTTCACATTCATAGCTCTGGCTTCAATTGATTTACGGCGCCAACAAGTATGCAACAAGTTTTGCCAATCAACAGGTAGCAACACACTATTCACCACACACACACACACACAGATACACATGCATACACGCACACATACATACATAACGGTTATCAAGCTGTGCGCGTGTGGTGAATAATCGGGCTCTTAAGCCGCACGTTGCTCATACGCAGCATTGGCAACGATACGACAACAGCAACAGCAATTGTTGCAGCGGGGCGGCAACAACAGGCAGTCCATGCGCCTAAGCTACCCCTAACACCTCCCCTACACACCCTCTAAACCTGCGTTGCCCACTTCCCCCTCCTTCTCAACACCTTTTCTGCTTCCTGCTGTTGCTGCTGCTGCTGCTGTTGGTGCTGCTGCTGCTGCTGCTGCTGCTGCTGCTGCTGTCGTCGCCTTCGACTGCGCCTGCTATTTTGTATATAAAGCCGAGCGTCGTCCATGGCTAACATCGAGTTCACAATTTCACTTCTTGGCGTTCACATCGAGTCCAAACAGTCTAACGGATCCTCTTCAGCAATATCGCATTTCATTTGTGTTTGCAGTACCATAAATAAATCCGTTTCGTGAGACACACACAAATATATATCCAAATATATATATCTAAATAAAAGTGAAATCGTAATCGCGCTCCAAGTTTTTGTCGGAAATCAATTTTGCCGCCGCTATTTGCTTAGCCATTCCATTATCCTTGAATTCTTGCGGTGAGTTTGTTGTTTCAATTATATTTGCCTAATTTCGAGTTATTGTTTGAGTTTATCTTAATCTGCTGGCAAGCGCTTGACTCAAGCAGCTCTTAATTGATATATTAATCAAGCGTGAATGCGGAAATGTTCAGTTCGAAATATTTAGGAATCGCTTTAACTCACTAATTTCTAAGCATACCAAATATAAGTGAAGAGCAATGCTGTGAAATTTATTCTTTTATTAAAAGTATTATAAATATTTATTCAAAAG